GTTGGAGGTGGTTCTTCACAGGAGGATGATGGAGGTGGTGTTTCCTCACAGGAGGAAGATGGTGGTGGCTCTTTGCAAGATGATGTTGGAGGTGGCACTTCACAGGAGGAAGATGGAGGTGGTGTTTCCTCGCAAGAAGAAGTTGGAGGTGGCTCTTCACAAGATGAAGTGGGAGGTGTTTCTTCACAAGAGGAAGTTGGAGGCATTTCTTCACAAGATGAAGTGGGAGGTGGTGTTTCCTCACAGGAGGAAGATGGTGGTGTTTCCTCGCAAGAAGAAGTTGGAGGCGGTGGTTCTTCACATGAAGAAGTTGGGGGATGCTTTCCACCTATATTTGCTTCAACAGAAGTACTTACTAATGCCAGAATAGTTCCTTGTGTCGGGTCAGAACCCGCATCTCGGCTATTTCCTGAGATGTTGTCCTCAGATACCGCAGTAGCGAAGGATGCGGCACTCAACAAAATAACGATGTTTTGATACTTCATGTTGACTTTGCTACTTATGTTAAATATAACTAACTGACAGGACCATGGCCCTTATTTTATACCTGGGATTGTCTCTTCCATTTATAGAAAATCTCGTATCGTCCTGTTATTTTTAAGACCTACAGAAAGTGCTTTCTTTGCTAGTACTAAAAATACTAAAATTATACCCCAATATATGGGACTATTGCATCTCTGTTATTAATAGTATCTAATCATATATTAACTTCAATAACTGCAAATATTTCAAAAATATTGCGACCATGTTCGTTTTGGAAATTTATTACCCCAATGTGGCTTTACCAGAGTATACAAAGGGTCTATTAAAACGCTACATTACGGAGATTATTTTTTAGACGGAGTAAGTTCATTTATCTACAAATAGACTAAAAATGTAAACAGGGTCTTCCTAATCTTGAATTTAGTCCGAGTCTCAGTCATAAGAAAATATATTGAGATATTTCTAAATATAGCCCAAGACTTTTCTCGATTAGTTTATAGATACTTTTAGGTTTAAGTAATTAGATTTTCACCAATTATGAATGACGAAAGTGCTATACCTATATGGGTCGCCTATCATAAATTAACTTTCGTTTTGATTGAAATTAGAACGGCTATTGTATACCAGCATGAATACGATTTGCGAACGATTTAGATCACTACTGTCTACATACCGACCCAGAACTCATACGATTATATTGAATTACTTTATGCCTACTTCATGTTAATTTACTTTGTAATTTAGAAAGAATATTTTGTATTTTGACAATACAAAAAGGTTTAACGTTCAATTATTTTACGCAAATCCAAAATGGTGACTATATAAAAAAGCTATCAACCTAAATGGTTCTATTATTAAACCGGCTTTGTATATTTAGAGTTTATTCAGGAGGTGACATTTATCTGGCATATTAAGTATTCAATGGTTGCCTACCTCAAAATGAGACCAAATTAATTATTAGCATCATAAATATGATAATATATACGTCGATACACCCAATATTGATATCTATGTTTATATTATTCAAGAGTACCAACCCTCCATAATTCTAGACCCATTATTTTAAATTTTCCCATTTTTGCATTACCATTATTGCTATTTAATATTTCATTTCCAAAAGTATCGCATGAATAGCTAACACCGTTATATAGTGACCTATCTATCCACAATCCATTTTGACCTTTAGAAGATCCTATTGCTATGAAATCATGGTTAGAATATATTATATTGTCATTGATACCAGTATACATGAATGCCTTAAATCTGGTTTGCGATGTAGCCAAATGAGATGATATATCTTCTTCGCTGTTCGAATTGGATGGTGACGGTGTGAAAAGTTCAGACTTCCACAAGAAACATTCTCCATTGCCGTAATATCGTTTCTGATCCATTGGTCTTAAATGTTCATTCACAAAGCAACCGAATTTCGAATTGTTTTCGTCCTTTATGATTAAAACGTAACCTTGGGGTCTTCTTCTTTCACGCATAGAATTGACGTTACCTGACATCATTGAGCTGATAACAGCATCACCATATCCAACTTCAGGTTTATTTTTGCGATGCTGCAGCAATTGGTAATCAGGGTTACTTCTTTGATATAGAGTATTGAGTGACACCCCATGCTGTTCTAGTGAATAAACCAACTCCCACTCGTCAAATAATTGAAGTCTTGCTGGAAGTAAATTTCTGATGTAACCAGCTAATTCATCATCCAATAATCTGCGTTTTGTAGATGACTTGTAACCATTTAAGCTCAATTGTGATAATGGAGGTAATGAGCTCTCCCTTACTCCTATGCTTTGCTCATTCTCCATAGGAACATCATTTTTCTTATCAGATTCGGAATATTCCATAGATGCTGGCGACGTTTGTCTTCTCATAAGTCTATCAAGAAAAGTAGGTCTTCTGTTAATGGGGGGCTGGACCTCTGTTTCGTTGGTTGGGGTATCCACAAGTGATGAGCTACTTGCATTTCTCTTATCTTCCACCATTTTTTTTTTACATACGATCGATTTGTTCTGGTATAAATACTATAAATATCAGGTTTTAACTGACAATTGATCTTTATTATGGTATATAAGATGGAAAAAGGATATTTATATCCTATAGTTAAGAAACTGATTTAACAAGTCGCTTTCATTTGAGATTGCGCACGCTCATACACACATATTGCATCACTACAGTTAATGGAGTATTAGCTCCTTATTGTTTATGGAAGCGAATAAGACCAGTAAGAAACTCCACTCCTACTTTAACGCTATCAATAAACTGAATGTTTTGGAAGCTACCTCTTAATTTTTCGTCTAACCCAGCCATGCCAGCACAACCTAATAATATACAATTGATATTATCGTGAGCGTATTCTTTGTTCAAGATATCTGTAACTCTAGTAGAAATCTTGGAATATTCCTTAGGATCACTTAAACTAAGCACACTTACGTCAAGCCCCTTTGTCTTTTGGAATTTCTTACTTGGAAACTCGCTAGCCCCAACAAAGTCAGTGATTGCCTTGTCTAATAACGGCTCCCATTCATTCACACTCGTCAATATGAACAGCCTAGTTACAGAGGGATTCAGCAAAGCATAGAGTAATGTGGCCTGCATTATTCCTAGAATTGGCTTATCTGTATGCTTCCCAAGCGAGTGTATCAAAGGGTGGTCCGAGTAACAGCAAACCAAAAATCCATCATATTTATCAATGACTCCCTTTTTTAGCAAGTCTGGGAGTACTGCTTTTTCGGATAATACCGACGTTTCGTTTCCGTTAATCTCTTTGGGAGCTTCGGGAGGCCCAGTATAAAATTCAAATTCAACTTGTGGTGGGTTGACAAGGATGTCCTTTAAATTATTTGTAACATTAACTGACGAGTTAGGATTTATTATGAGGATCGAGTACGTCATTTGAGCTGTAATCTTTGAAATATGAGCAAATGTATTAATCGAATAATGCTCCTTGAAGTTATCTATGTCCTCGTTGAAGTATTTATATGCGCGACTTTGATATTATCATCAAAACGATAGATCTGCCTGTTTAAATACGCCTTATAAACCGTCATATAACATGTCATTTGTGGGGGTGATAGACTCAGAGAAGAACAAAGTCATATGGTCGAAGGCAATCCTGTCATTAGCTGCTATATCTGATCATATTAAATTCATTATTTGTCCTGATTCATTATCTATCTCAGCTGTGAATAATGCAAAAACATCTCATGCGGAAATCGTCTTTAAGAAGACATTCTTTTACGATTACTCGGTAGATTTTTCAAATATCTTACCAGAGGGGTTCGATAATGACCTTGGGGAAGATATTGATGCTGAGATTAATGGTTCTAAGCTGTCATATTCGTTCGTAGTTAACTCAAAGCATTTATCTATACTTTTCAAGAACCTCGATGCTGTTGATATTGATTATATATGCTTCAAAATACACTGGTCGAGGGAAGCACAAGCAAATATGAAATATAAATTGTTGATAGAAATAAAGACCAAAAAGCTAATCATAAAGAAGTATCAAACGAGTTATCAACCAGTGCTTAAGAATCAGTTAACCGTTTCATCGGTGTACAAAAGAGAGTTATATTCCCAGCAGCACAAGGAAGGAAGTGGAGAGATAGACGAACGTAATAGGGTTAACTATATAATGATTGAACAAATTATACCCAAACAATTCTTGGATATGATTCCGGCATCTACTGAAGATTTCAAAATTGAAATCAAAAATGAAAAGATTCTGTTGAGTGGGTACACTAAGCAGATCCAAAAAGACAGGGAGTACTTAAAGCAACAAATGTCTGTCACAATAGCTTTAACTCTAGAGGAATTATTAAATACAAATCTCACTGCCGAAGCTAATATCGATCAAGCAAGAAAATGCATAAATTTCAGGTTGAGAGATTTCAGAAATTTTATGAACCTAATTACATCAATCAACATCCCTACGAATGCAGAGTCTAATCCCGATGAATATCTTAATCTAAACAATATGATTTCAATGTCAAATGAGGATTATTTCGAAATCTTTTTCAAAAATCCCGGGGACCCTATTTTGTTTGAATTGCAAAACAACCCCCACATTTTGATACAATACGTCCAAATAACTAATGATGACGAATACGATTTACCAGAGAATTCTAAAATCAATGTGAATGGAATTAAGAATATCCCAAGCAAACTAGTTTTACATCCACATGTTATCCACAAGGTTTCATCACACGCTGACGAAGAAAATATTCCTATAAATGTAAAGTTCTCTGACAGCAGTAAAATTCCAAAAACGAAGCTCTCTATTCCTCAGCAACTGAGAAAATTACAACCAAATACCGATAATAGTATACATACCAATGAATTATTTGTACCAGAAATGGAGAGTCAAACCGCCGCATTTGATTATTCGTCTAATTATGAGAATGAAGATATGATAACATACGGTAAGAGAATGTCACAAACCGAGAAAGAAACATACAAAAAGCAAAAGATAGAAGAGGGTAACGGTATTGGAATAGTAAATATAGATATGGATAGATTGAATAATATGATCGACAACAAAGAAAAGGCAAAACCCGATAAAAGAATAATAATTAACGAAGATACCGATTATGAATCGGATGAAAATGAAGCGCTAAATTTAGGCCCCACTCAAGGAGCAGATCGTCCAAAATCTATATTTGACTGAACTACAGAATACAGAGCTATTTATACATTTATATTTCGAAATGATGTGTAGTATTGAATAGTTATATAAGTTAATATAGAATATGCATTATATCAGCTTCGATCCACCTTGATGGAGCAACAACATGTACTCTAGTCTAAACCAAAAGGTATGTAACAGCAACTAAAAGATAATTTATTTGCTTTCAGAACTGGCAATTTTTGGATTTTCTTCATATTGATTCTTGGCCCATCTAAATCCTTGAGCTAATTGTGCTACTTCGTTTACGAAATGACAACCAAACAACAAGTAGTTTTGCGGAGTAACAGCCATGGAATACCTCATGAAAACTAACGAATATACGATTAATGAACCTGTCATTGGTCCACTAATTAAATCTGCATCTTTTTTCAAGTCCAACATGGCAGCGACAGGGATACCGAAATTGGAAACTGGGCCCCAAAAATGGGTGGTACAAACGTATCTCAACGATTGTTTAGAAAATAAAAAATCTGTAAACTTCTTGAAACCTGACATTATCCTATATCTTAAGCCAATAATCTATGTCTAATTTAATATTATGTAGGTTGATTAAGCGTGAAATTGTAAGTCGGTTTTTTGGTATCCGAAAGATTTCGATCAACACGGCACGTGATTTTACAAGAAGCCGATATGTAATACTAGACTTTTTTCATATTTATGTACATAAAGCTAGCTAGGTGTTGAAATGCTCAGAATGCGTCCGGATTAAATACTTCACTGTCATCATTACTTAAGTTCTTCTGTTGGGAATCATCCTTAGAAAACCTTTGCAGTTGTGTTGGATAATTGGTATCGTTCAATGTTCCGAGCATTTGACTAGGATTATGGGGTAAGTTTGACAGATGCGTGAAGATTAAGGACTGCTGTGGCATATTAAGGAAACCATAAGAATCAGAAATAGCTGGGCGTTCCTGCTGCACTGAAGATAAATCCGGTTGGGGATGTTGAGACAGGGATGAATTTGATTTAGATGGATACGAAGAATTGCTACTCCAAATATCGTCAAACGCTGCGTCTGCTTGCGAGTTGAAATCACCAACGAGCATATTAGGAGTTACCTGTGAAGAATGTAGTGGTTGAGGATGTTTTGGCAGTTCAGGGTTGTTTGAAAAAACCGATTTATTAGGATCAGAACCAGTATTTTTAGAATTTTCTTCTTTAAACCTAGACTTAGAAGGGTCCTCATCATCACTTGGGGAACTGAGGTGATAAGGCAAATTATCAGGATTTGTTATCCAGAACGGATCTCGTAGGTTAAATCCTTGAAATTCGGGTTCCGGAATGTTGCCCAAGTTGATTTGATTTTGCAATTCATTTAGATCACTCTCAAATTTCTGATGATCGATTTCAATACTCGAATTTTGCTTATGGCGGATTTTTCCAATATGCTCAATGTTCATACGAACCAAATGAGTTATATTTGAAGACCAAAGTTTGTTGTTGTAACTTGTCATTTTCGCAAAATTAGACTCAAGTTTCAGCAAAGTATTTAAACTTTTATCTAACTTGTTCAAGAACTCAGAATAATTAATATCTTCATTATTTACAGATTCATCGTATTCAACAAAATCCTTGAATTTGTGATGTAAAAATGTGAATATAACTAGCATACCTTGATAAATAAATGAATTTAAGAATGGAAAATGGACTCTTAATAATTTTCCAAAATTGGGTTTTTTCAAGTACTCAAATTCATTTTCTTTATATTTTTCACCAAATTGCTTCAAGAATGTATTTATGAAATAAATTGAGCAATCCATATACTTGTTAATGGAGTCGTGCAACAATCTAACAACCGTAACAGTGTCCCCCGGATTTTCAAACTCAACAATGAACGGCTGAAATAACTTAGCTCTGTTTATGTAGAAAGCAATCAAATCAACTAACAAGTTTGTCTTGTCCACTATAAGCGTAACTTCATTTTTCATATAATTGGAATCCTCATCCATCAAATCTATATTTCGATCATCAACTAAATTATCATTGTCATATAGCTCATCATTAATAAACCATTTTATAAGGTCAATTTCCCTTTTAAATTTAGTGTCCAATTCTAATAAATCCCTAATAGTAAAATCTGTCATAAAGTTTTCGATCAACATCATATTTGAAAGCTTAAGACATTCACTTAGTCCAATTTTGAGGGCAATTGCCATTCGAAACTTTTTTAAATCCTGTTTAGAATGACTAGGATCAGAGACTTTTAATATCTGCGAGTTGACGTGTATGGAAATAGGGTTTGGTCTACCTAAAACAGAGCATACTTGGCCACTAATATTCTTCAATGCAAACCAAACTTTGTAACGCGTTACGTCCTCATCTTTCTCTTTCAGAGGCTGTTCATCTAATAAACTAAACTTACCCATCACATGTAACCCAATAGAGTACGATATCGAGCACGTATGAAACATCATTGACCAACACTCTTCATACCTTTGTTCAATGAAGTGCCATTCTGTACATAATATATATGATTGAATTGTAGCGACAGCTTCATTGATTAAATTGTGTCTTATCTTTTCAAACTTATGGTATAAAATATCAGTCAAGTGATCTTTAACTTTTTTAAATTTAGTAGTTTGAGATTCAACATTATCCAATAAATTAATATCAATGAACTCCTTAGCGGTAAGTCTTTGGATCAGTAGCAATAAAATCATTAGAAGTAATAAAAGATCATCATCATTCTCCCATTCATTGTCATTCATATCATCATAATTGTTTAGAAAGTCAACTATTTGTTGCTTAGAGATAAACGTCTTATAAACCGGATGATAGCTGAAGAAATAATCCACCAACTTACATATTATATTGAAGTTTAATTCATCAACGTTAGTTTTGGAAAGGTTTCTAGGTCCAATAATAAAGTCGAGGCCCAATAAATATGGCAATGGTTTCTTCAATAATGATTTTTTGATTAAATCTTGATTGGCTTGGCTAGAAAATGATTCATGTATTTGTAACAGGTCATTCGAACTCGGTTTTCTGGACTTTAGTCCCATCCCTTCATCTTTAATAGAAGTTTTTTCATCATTTTTGTTACTCCCTCCTTTATCAAGATTCTTAATCATATAATTCGAAGACAGTGGTCCATAATATTTATCTCCCAATTCGGAGGTTTCTCCGCTTATAGGAATAGGATCCTTAAGCTTAAATGATTCCTGCAGCTTATCATTACTATTACTAGAACGATGGAACTTATTTAACTGGGTGAGTAACAGCTGGTATTTTTGCTTCAATTTATTATGCTCTTCTGAAATCGAATTCTTTTCAGTTTTTAAATGGTTAACTTCCTCAGCTAATGTAAGTAATTTCCTCGAATGTGAGTTTACCAGCTGGTTGCCCATGTAATCGGATTCCGAGTTGCCCACGCTACTATTTTCGCCACTGCCATTTGAACTCGAATGTCCACTATGTCCACTCCAACTCGGATTATCCAACTCATCTTCATTAATCTTTATATTACGAAATGTGGATGGAAAAATACAACAAATCTGCCTCTTCTCACATTGATTACATGGTCTAACTTTATTACATTTGATTTTCTTCCGACGGCACGAAATACATGATATTGGAAAAACTTCACTCATTTTGTTTCAATGCACCCTAATCGACCCTTATCTGTTTCTTATCTAACCGTTTTTACTACCACGAAATTTTTCGATTGTATTTCTTTGAAAGGATAATTAATTTTTAAAGAAGTAGAATACAATATAATTGGTATTCGATGTATACTAATATATGGGTTTCTCTATACTGTGAATATCGTTGATTAGCCATTAAATATATCATCCCCAAATATAGTTCTATGTACCGGACGAGAAACCCTATCATATACGGAGTTCCGTAGACTGTGATGACTTAGCAAGTTGCCTGTATGGAACAATTAACCGTTACTAACGTCCTTAGTACTACAAGCATATGCATGCACTCTTTTATATAGCTGAGCACTCCTATTACAGAAAATAATATTCTAGAATACGTTCATACACATTCTTTGACATGCAATAATCAATTTCTTTTCAGTTAAAGTACAGTATGATTCGTATGAATCAGATATAATCGTAACAAATAATCGACCGGTTGTCGTTCTGTATATGTAGCAAATTAGGTTAGAGTCGGGGATTTCAATATGGAGATCGTGCTGTTTTATTTATATGCAAAGTGTAGCCTGGATCCATACAATATCATCTTATTTTATAAAGAACCCAGAACGAACACTGGACTCGATAAGCGTACGGTTATGGTACCGGCCCGAAGTAGACTACGGTTACCAAGGGATGACAGAGGAGTATTGAGAATAATAAGAGTATACGAGACGTACTGAGACAATAAAAGGCAAACTGCACGACTTGAGATGAACTGAATGGAATAAACTGCATTTAAACTACGCTTGATTGCCAATTTCAGATGATGACCATTTTAAATAGATTATACGAAACCCGATAGTGAATATTTACTTGGAGTTTTGGATATTGGGGGAATTTATGAAAGATGAGCTTTTACCTCTTGCATTTTGCATGCATGAAAGTCGTTAAGACCTTCTTAGAATCGTTGCGGATGGCAATGCCATAATCCTATGGTTTGTTAACGGTAAAATGGAGCCAACATTTTGCGAAGGCCGAAGATTAGATGCAAAAACAAAAGAAAAAAAAGTTCTTTGATATGCGCCAGGGGGAAGACTTTCCGTTATATATGTTTCCCTATTCTTTCGTTCAAAGATACAAAATCCAACGAATATTCATGGAAAACAAAATAATGCATGCTTCTTCCGATTTCTGAAATTTGCAATCAAATAGGATGGAAGATTCTATATTAAAAAGGCAAGGACAATAACTGATGATTCTATATATGGACTTATATACCATTTACGACATGATTTTGTCAAAGGCTTGTAATGCGATGTACACGAGTTTAAGCACCAATAAGTTGTCCTTCAAACTGTTGACGTTCTCTTACTCATCATCAAGAATATCAAGATCATAAGAATCAGGCATAGTAGATTAGATGATACACTATCTTGGAAAAGCTGAGACGTACATGACGTTGATTTCGATGGGTACTAAGAATTATTACTCCAAACGTCCCCAAAACGTGCATTTCCCTGTGGCTTAAAATCATCAACTAGAATATTAGAAGATACTTGAGATGTACGTAATAGCTGAGGCTGTCTTGAATGTTCAGGATAACTTGAGAGAGCCGCCCTTTCGGGCACGAGGTTTTCAAACGTAGATTTAGATGGTCTGTATTCGTCGGTTGGAGAAGCAAGATGATAAGGTAAACTGTCTGGACATGTTATCCAAAATGGATCATGTATATTAAGACCATGAAGTTCGGATTCAGGATTGAAGCCGAAGTTGATTTGATTTTGCAATTCATTTACTTCATTTTGAAATTTCTTGTGGTCCATTCGAATCTTGGTGATTTGCTTTATACGGATTTTTTCAATATGCGCTATATCCAAATGGATCAAGTAAGTTATATTCGAAGACCAAAGCTTGTTATGGTTGCACGTCATTCCTGCAAAATTGGACTCAAGTTTCAGTAAGGTATTTAAATCTTCCCCTAATTTGTTTAAGAATTCCGAATAATCTATGTTCTTCCTCCCATTATCTTCGCATTCAATGAAGTCCTTGAATTTGTAATGCAAAATTGTGAAAATCACTAACATACCTTGGTATATAAACGAATTTAAAAATGGATAGTGGGATCTTAATATTTTACTGAAAGTTTCTGTTTTCAAATACCTAAAGTTTGTTTCTTTGTGTTGCAAATCTAATTGATTTAAGAATGAATTTACGAAATAAATCAAGTAATCCAAAAATTGATTGATAGTTTCCTGTAACAACTCAATAACCGCTGTATTGTCGTTTGAATCCTGAAACTTGAGAATAAATGGCTGTAATAATTTAGCCCTGTTTATATAAAAAGTGATTAAATCAACTAATAAGGTTCCATTATCCATTAAAAACCACTGGTTTTCAGTTTTGTCGTCGTTGAAATCTTCATCCATCGGGTCTGTATTTAGGTAATCAAATAAATTCTTATCATATAATTTATCATTAATGAGTACATTTATTTGATCAATTTCCTTTTTAAATTTAGAATCCAATCGTAATAATTCATCTATACTAAAGTCTGTCATAAAGTTTTCAATCAACATGGTATTTGAAAGCTTAAGACATTCGCTAAGTCCAACTTTTAGGGATACTAGCATTTTGTCTTTTTCAATTTCCAGCAAAGAATAAGTCGGAGTAGATGCTGTTAGCATCAGCGAGTTAACATGTAATGAAATGGGACTTGGTCTGCCTAAAATCGAACTTATTTGGCCACTGATATTTTTCAAGGCATACCAGATTCTATATCGTCCTATTTCTTCGTCTTTTTCTTTCAGATCCTTTTTATCCATAATTCCAAACTTGCCCATCACATGTAACCCAATAGAATACGATATCGAGCAAGTGTGAAACATCATTGACCATGATTCTTCAAATCTTTGTTCAATAAAGTGCCATTCTGTGCATAATATATATGATTGAACTGTAGCGACGGTTTCATTGATTAAATTGTGTCTTATCTTTTCAAACTTATGGTATAAAATATCAGTCAAGTGATCTTTAACTTTTTTAAATTTAATAGTTTGAGATTCAACATTATCCAATAAATTAATATCAATGAACTCCTTAGCTGTAAGTCTTTGGATCAGTAGCAATAAAATCATTAGAAGTAATAAAAAATCATCATCATTCTCCCATTCATTCTCATTCATATTATAGTAATTGTTTAGAAAGTCAACTATTTGTTGTTTGGAGATAAACGTCTTATAAACGGGATGATAGCTGAAGAAAAAATCCACCAATTTACATATTATATTGAAGTTTAATTCATCAACGTTAGTTTTGGAAAGATTTCTGGATCCAATAATAAAGTCGAGGCCCAACAAATATGGCAATGGTTTCTTCAGCAATGAGTTTTTAATCAAATCTTGATTACTTTCAAAAGTGGACTGTGTTGGTGACCGTCCCAAATCACTTGAAGCCGGCGTTTGTAGCGGAGAGTATGCGCTCTTATTCTTATTTGCTGCCATTTTTACATCGCTTTTTTCGTCCACACCCATGTTCTTTAGTATATAACTAGACGACAAAGGACCATAATATTTAGCACCTAATTCAGTAGTCTCTCTATTTATGGGCATAATATCCTTCTCCTTGGATGGTTCCGGTAATTTGTCGCTACAATTGTTAGCTTTACAGTACATAGTGAATTGTGTGAGCAAATCTTGGTATTTATTCTTCAATTTAAGATGTTCATCTGCAAGGGTCGGATTTTCTGTTTTCAAAGTCTCCAGAATTCTCTTCGATGATTGCCTTCCTGGTGATCGACTACCCTTCAAGTCAAGATCGCAGGAATTTTCCTCGTCCTTGTTTTCTGTACTGTCATAAGAACATGAAGTTTCCAACTCTTCTTCATCAATCCTAATATTCCGAAATGTTGATGGAAAATTACAGCGGATCTGTCTCTTCTCACATTGATTACATGGTTTCACTTTATTACACTTGATCTTTTTCCGGCGACATGAAATGCATGATATAGGGAAAATTTCACTCATTATACGAGCAGGATTGTATACTCTTACACGTTCACTACTGATTTATCAACAGTTTCCCTGCAGTCAAGCAAGACTCTTACTCATAGTATCGGACCACTATAATTTTTGTTCGAATTCCTATTCATTATATACAGCAGAAGACCAGTAGATATAACTAACTGGTTGAATGCATCATACAAGGAATTGCATTATTTTGCGCTGGCAAATATGTTCTAATCAGCCTTAGACCACAAATATGCATGTACAAGGACCTATGTCATAGGAAACCAGATAATTTCAGAAATAGTAATTCGCAATCTATTTACAGTTTCGATTGTCTGTAATCTACATATTCGTGTGACTGAATAATAGGGATTTCAATTTGTACGAGGCGTTCCTATATCTAGCTTCGTTTATTTTATTTTCTCATGCCACCTTTTTGATTTAGGCGGGACCATAAATAAGATATATATAAAGTGACATGGAATCACACTCTAAGTGGTATTTCGTATAGCCAAGTATAGGAATTTCGTCACTAAGTGTTATAGATTGACTATATGGTTTGAATTATTGCGTCTAAGACACTGATATACAAAATAGGAGTACTATATGCACTATTTTATAGTAGAAAAATTCAAAGTTAGTTCGATCATCATGCATGCATAAAAGCGGTATATTTGCAGGACTGTTATGTAACAGCAAGGGACCAAGATGCATGTTGCAGTCGCCTGGGTTGGGGCTCTAGGGTTAATTGTTAGTTGGAAATAAGTGAAGAAAGTAACTGGAAGTATGCAGACCAGATGGGTGTTATATAGCTCAACGTCAAAACAGAGAACCTTGTGACTAGCAAATTCGTTAAAAATTAGGTCAAAGGTCAAAAAAACAATGATAAAATTAATGAATTAACTCGCTATATACCTCTAAATATTATCAAGAGCCTGTAATGAAATGTACATGACACTAGGGATCAAGAAGTTATCATTTAAATTGCTGACACCTTCTAACACACCACCTAGGATACAGCAGACAAGTAAGTTTTCCCAGTTATGGACGTGCTGCGTTAAAATGTACTTATCGACAAAATAGAATCCAACCATGGAGAAGAAAATAAAAGAACCAGTTCCTTGGACGGATTTGGAGCTTCCCTTCCACTTTAGGGTACCGAAATGTTTACCAATAACCGATGCAAACGAATCGCCGATTCCTAGACCAATTATTCCAATAAAAGATTTACACGTAAGCTTGCGCTTAATACAGTAATCAAAAACGATCGGGATAGTAACACCTATGATCAAGAAAATATAAGACAAATTCAATGGCCCTTTCAAATCCTTAAAGTCCTGGAAAATTACTAGTTGTTCATATAACCATTCCCCCAATATGGTGAATTTATTATATCTGACGATTTCCATGGTTATGAAAATGATTATAGATCCGAGCAAGCTTATTATTGTAAAAATCGGCTGTCTTGGCAAGCTTGGATACGCAATCATTACTAAAATAATATAATGCCATACCTTTCTTCTGGAATTGAGGGAAAGTCTGTTGGAATTGATGAAAACTGCTGGAATGGAAACTAGTAATAAAATTCCCCATGCACTCAAGATTTGGACTCTTTCTTCTGATTCGACAATGAATTCCCACATCCAAACGATAGCATTAGAATTCGAAAGTATTGGCGCCAATAGGTAATTTGTAACAAATGTAAATAACCCAGCAAACGCAACAACAATGAAGACTCCATATATCTTCAGGCTCCAGTTTTCGTAAGCTTTAAAGAGAGGATAAATGAACATCAAACTTACTATTAAACTGATAATTAACTTCTGCAATATGATTAAGGGCAAGTTAAAATCATCTGCCTCCTTCAAGCCAAACAACAAGTTAGTAACCATTAGGCACAATAACTGGATTTCAGCTTTATTCAACGTGGTACTTGTACCTGATCTATACTTCTTACCATCATTCTTTTCAACCAATTCCAAGTTTATTGCATCATCTTCATCAATAACTTCATCCGATACGTATGTAGATGTATCGTCGTTTCCCGAATTTGCTAAAGTGATAACGTATTGTAACATGTAATGCATGAAAGTTATTTGAAACATCCTGAAAGTGGTAATGTCCTTATTTTCATTATACACTTGGAAAAAGATCACAGCCGAAATAAATTTGGGAATAGGATGCAAGCTATCGATTATGAAATTATTCAAAGCTAAATTGACCAATAAGAACTCCAGCTTGAGAAGAAATGAAATGGTCAATGGAATGAACACAGAATAGATATGATTGAATTCAGGTAACTCGGGTCTTATAAACTGTTCAGGATTTGCCAAATGTTTTTTTAACTGTGCCCGGTAGCCCAAAATCAACGCCAATGAAAGACCTAACAAATTGAACCCAATAATTGCATAATTTTCCCAGAACTGTTCACCATAAGTCAAGTATATTACTTCACTGATGTATAAAACAACTAAAAGTTGGACAAATTTACACAAATCTAAGTTATCATTTAGGAAATCTTGTACCTTGTAGATATAATTAAGGGGAAATGAATAAGACGATGGATCATCTATTTCATCATTTACTGGTACGTCCGATGCATCTGGCCGCGTCGACGTCGATCCATCAATTATCGCATCATCAACTCTATCATCAGGATTGGCAAATATCGCTGCTGTAGACCTTACTCCCGTAGAAGATGAAGCTGCAGCTTGGGAGCTTCTCCCTCTAGTATTCTGTTTCTTTGGAGGCATATCACTAAACGTATTACTTGTGTTCATGGTTATTATCAACTTGAAATCCTTCAACACTACATTTTCAGTTATATGCACACCAATACATTATATTGGTTAAAACGGTCACTAGATAGATAAGACCCATGGCGAAATTATGGCAGTTCTCTTTCAATTCTAGCCTGTCTTAAAGATTTTCGATAAAGACATATTCAATTGGAACATAACCCACCAATAAATTACAGTTTAATTGCAGTTCTCTTAAATTGCAATCGAATGCAGAAAATCACTTGTTTCCATCTTCAGAGAAGCGGAATATGGCCAGTAAGAATTACGCCAGAATGACGTGAATTTAGGTCTAAACGTGGCATCTGTTCGATCATTTGGAATCATATGCGAATCTATACCAATCGCACAAACTATATATCGGAGGTTAATACTTTTTCGTACATACGTGGTAGCAACGATTGTTGAGATATTGAATCTCGTGAGTAGTATATATATTTTCAGTTTTTCGGGACTTATATATTTAAGGACCAGTTCTTTTTATTTGTAATTGGAATTGAATCTTTCAAATTTTACATCAAATTATAACAACAAATATGGTCAAAGCATTAATTGCAGTTACATCTTACAACGATGTTTTCTACGACGATGGAGCTAAAACAGGGTTATTTGTCAGCGAGGCATTACACCCATTCTTGGTTTTTAAGGAACACAACTACGATGTGGAATTTGTTTCTGAAACCGGTACAGTAGGATACGACGAGCACTCTCTTAGTCCAGACTTCTTGAACGGGAAAGATGCTGAAGTGTTCAACGACAAGAATTCGGACTTCAACATTTCGATCTCCAAGATCAAGAAGGCTTCGGACATCAACGGAGACGACTACAAAATCGTCTATTTCGCTGGAGGCCATGGTACCGTGTACGATTTCCCACAAGCTACCGGCTTGCACAAGATTGCCCAACAAATCTGGAAGTCGAATGGCGTGGTTGCCGCAGTTTGCCACGGTCCGGCTATTTTTGATGGATTGAACGACCCGGAAAATCCAAACAAGTTATTAGTCGAGGGAAAGACTATTACAGGCTTTACCAACGCCGGTGAAGAGATCATGGGTGTTGTAGAGACTTTGAAGAAGAAGAACTTGGGTTCCATTGAGAATTTGTCTACACGCTTGGGTGCAAAGTTCAGTCCACCTTCTGCTCCTTTCGAAGAACATTCAATTGCTCAAGGGAGACTTGTTACAGGAGCAAATCCAGCATCTGCTAGCTCTACTGCCGTCAAAGCTATCAAAGCATTGTCTTCTTAATGATAAAAGGCTTGATTACATATGCTAAGTTGTTCTCTACATATGACCGCGGAATCAATGACATGTGCGGTAACCAATTATTATTCTTCCATGATGTGTGTTTTTGTAGTAGTAGATACTTTATAGTCAGTAGATAGACATAACGAGGATAAATGAGTTCTATAATAAAGAGCATAAAGTTTTACGTTAAATCTACCGTATTTGGCGTCTTAATTAGTGGATGTGCATTGTATGGGGTAGTTGCATCGATTTTGTTGAGACTTGTTGGAAAGAAGGACTATGCTCAGTACACCGTCGCCAGGGTGTTTTACCATACGTTCTCCAAAATATTAGGCATTAAGATTACTATCAAGAATGAGCATTTCTTGCATGATGTGCCAGGTATTGTTGTTTCAAACCATCAGTCGGCATTGGATATTTTAATGTTGGGTAAGATTTTTCAACCAGGATACACTGTTACTGCCAAAAAGGCATTGCAATACTTCCCATTCTTGGGGTGGTTTATGTTGGCTTCTGGTACGTTCTTCTTGGATAGGGCTAGAGGGGAAAAGGCTAGAAAAGTTTTAGATAATGCTTTAAAGACCTTGAAAGCTGAGAAGAGAGCATTGTTCATGTTTCCTGAAGGAACAAGATCTGCTACCAAAGCATTGGAAATGTTACCCTTCAAGAAAGGTGCATTCCACTTAGCCCAGCAAGCAGGTATACCGATCATCCCAATAGTGGTAAGTAATACTTCGAACATTTTTAATGCAAAGGATAGAATCTTCAACTCTGGGGAAATTTTTATTGAGGTTTTAAAACCGATGCCTACTGACGATTTAGAAACTAACAGCGATATAAGTGCATTCTCTGTTAAAGTTAGACAAGAAATGGTAGAAGCTTTGCAACGTGTTGGTTATTCAATACCGCTGGGTACTTCTAGTGAACAACCACCTGCGAACGACCAGACCGAGGAGGGGATTACCGATATTGACACCGATACAGATCCGGAACAAAACGAATTTTCTGAAGAAACTCCATTAATAGCAAAATAATTGGTTACATTAACGTGTACGATTCATGAGATATATATTGTTAAATAAAAAAATATACTATTACACTTTTAAGTTCAATTCAATCTTCTAGAATTATTGCCTTACTTTTTTTTTTAGTCTTCTTAGGCTTATTAACTGAAATTATATTATCTTCAGTGGTCGACATATGTTCTTGCGGTGTAGCTGTAATATTACTGATCCCCGTATTAGCCTCATCATCAACCGAAGGTGCAGTTTTATTTTCATTAACTTCTTTCTCTTTTTTCTTTGATTTACTTTTCTTAGTTTTTTTGGGTTTCTTACCAAGTGAAGACTCTGCCAATTTACTTCTCAAGTCATTTAAATCAATATCGTATTCATAAGACTTATTCTTAGGTTCTATGGTTGATGCAGCATCTGAAATTGATGAAGAATTCAAATCGAAGTTATTTAGATTTGAAGAATCAATATTTAAAATATTTTTCTTTCTAGGCTTCGGAGGTGCAACTATTTCAGGTTCAGGTTCATTGTTCGACCCCTCAATAGTTTCTTCAGATAAAATAACTACTCTTTCTTTCTTCACTTTCTTGGATTTCGGTTTCTTCGATTTCAATTGTTGACCAGAATGTATTGAAGAAATTTCATTAATGTCGGGACTAGATTGCTTTTCATCATCTGCCACAAGAAGCCTATTTGACTTTGACTTAGATTTTGATTTTGATTTCTTATTACTTGTCGAAGTAATATAATATGGATCATCTTTCAATCTCTCGATTCTCTCTTGCTTCTTTCTGAGATCTTCCTGGCTTCCTTCGTTAGAGAGATTAATTAATGGATAATCTGAATCATTCATAGAAGAGTCATCAGATAAAAACATAGAATAAGAATCTCCATTATTATCCTCGTCTTCGCTTATGATTTCGAATAGAGATGAGTTTATTTGCTCGTCTATATTTAAATTCTCCGGAATTTGAATCTTACGTTGTGAATTCCAGGAAATTGGATTCAATGGATATGATTTAAAGAATGATGGTAAGACATGTGTTAATAACATTGGTAGTTGCTCATTAGATGATTCGGAAAAGTTAGATTCGTATTCTTCGGTTACTGGGAGGGCACCCTCTATAGACGGGCTAATAACTCCAGTATTAATTGGGTTAGCTGCATTGGCTTCCTCTTTTTCATCATCCAGCGATAATAAGTTTTCATAATCTTTGTTAATATGCGATTTCCCGTCATCTTCTAAACCCTCTTCACTATTCTCCTCTTCATCACTATCTTCGTCACCATCGCTATCTTCGTTGCTATCACTATCTTCGTTGCTATCACTATCTTCATCACTATTACTATCGAATTCATTTTCATCATCTTCATTTTTCTCAACTAAAGCTAGTTGCTTATAATATTCTACTTCTTCGTATTCTAACTTTTCAATGGCCTTATAATCATTTTTAACCATAGCTTCTAAGCATAGTTTCAAAAATTCTAGCCAAGACAATGCACGTTCCTGAACTTCATAATTTGAGTGGAACTCCCAATTTTCCAAAAAATTAATTAATTTATATAAAAAGTAACTGAGTTGCTTATAGTTATCTTGGGTTATGGATCCATTAGTAATACCACCGGAATTATAACCAGTAACAATACCATTATACAATTTAATTAATGCCTGAATCAAGACAACAAGAACATCAGATTGTTGTAGTTTAAGTAGTTTAGCAGATATTGGAAATTTGAGTGAAGTTATCAAGTTTAATTTAGTGTCAATTTTATGGTTCACAAGTGTATTGAATATTTGGATTAATTTCCCTATATCTACCGTACTTGTAATACTGTTTTCGTCTTCGTCATCATCGCTTTCATCAGAAGTAATCCTAAACTCATCAATATATTCACCCATTATCCAATAGAAGTCTCTTAATAATAACGGACAGTTTTCCAAGACTCTAACATCTTGAACAGAATCTGAAATAACTTTATTGAGAATTGCTGATCTAATTGAAGGTACTCTGGTGGCTAATATTTTAAATTCATTACCAATAGCACTCGCTATAGAGTTGGATATGCTTGGGGAAATATTTGCATTATTTATCGAGGATAATGGTAATAAAGTTAAATTAATCATGTCCTTCAATACCGCAATATACCATTTGAAATTGGGAATATTTGAATAGTTATCCTTAGACGAAATTGACAATATTTTCATAGTTATTTCTAATTTTAAAGTCTCAGGAATTGTAGTTGTTTCGGAAGGAATTAATTGAACCAATAAAACTTTAACCAATTCCGTTATATTATCTTCGGTTACTAAACTAGAACTGACTTCTAAGGCTTTTCGCTTAATAATAATATCATTGTCAGTAAGACAATCCATAATGACTTGTGAAACACCTTTCACCTTATGCATTAAGTCAGGGAATATTTGAAGTATATTAATTAAAGCTATTAATCCAACAAATTTCAAATTAGAATCTCTAGTTTCAAAAAAATTCATAATTTGTTCGATACAAGTTTTAGCAGTTTCCTTGTCTTTAGATGAATCAGGATATAAAATCGAGCCGTTAACAATACAATTAATGCATTCATATATTAGAGATGACGCCTGAGTTTTCAACATTAATTCCATTATGGTTGGTAAGATTTTCTTTTTCATTCTTGGCTCAACCTTTGACAAGCTTTGAAACAATTTGAGAATTCTGATAATTAACCAATTATTTTTAGTCCCTTCCAAGATGGTGAAGAATTTTGGTAAATATGTGACGAAGACGTTTGGGTTCTTCTTCGAAATCTCACAAATCACATTAATAGTGGCACTTACTACTGAAATGTCAGAGTCATCCAATTTGTCTATAATTCTATTAAAGTTCATTCTCAAACTATCTGGATATTGAAGAAATATCTTGTACATTGCTAACACGGCCTTTTTCCGAATATATGGCTTTGAATGATTTAATTTAATCAACACATCATCGTTAATATCTTTCGATAAATTGGGGGTCACAATAGTAGCAATTCCACTTAGTGCTAGACCTATTTCGATATGATTATGTGAATTTAAATCCTTTTTAAATTGGTTCGTGGCAAGAATCAATAAGTCTTGTTCATTCTTAAATGACTGTATTGCTGCTAAATATCCAATTCTCTTCTGTTGAAATTTACTCGAAGACATAACCTCTAAAATTTGAAAATTGCACCATGACATTTCAAACCCGTACATTTCTAAATATGTTAACTTTAATATAGCCATAGCTTTCGTCTCTAGATCAGTCGTACTCAATTCGTTCTTGCATTCCATAATTGCAGAATCCAAGAACCCCAGTAAGCTTTCGGCGGATTCCTTGGAATATGATCTAATTCCTTTAATTAAATCGCTAAGTGATTTTTCGAACAGAATGCCAAAAGGCTTCAATCTTGCCAATACTTCTGCATTCTGTAACTGAAATGATGACATGATCAAATCAATATTAGCTTTTATGGCTTGTCTGATGCAGATTTTTGATCGGTAAATATCTAAAGTAAGAGCGAAACGACAGTTTTACCATGCCATGATTTTGTGTCACTATCAAATTGAATGAAGTTGGTATCACTTTTTAAGTCCAATAAAGAGGAAGAGACAATATATGAACATGTCAGTCGACAATGAAACCAATTCTCTGAAGGATAATATAGAGTCAGAACTTAATGATAATACACAAAATAGCATAGACTCAACTGGACATGAAGCAATGGCATCCCCAGACAGATCAAATCATTCGAATAATAGTGCGTCACATAGTGAAAGCGACAGTGATGATGACGATTATTTCCTAAGTGACGAAGAAGACTTGAACAATGTAAATTCGAATTCAGATGAGGGGGGAACTCGTATGAATTATTCGACCAGTATGGCCGACCATATTGCATATCTTTCTAATTCACTTACTTACGCATTAGACTCTTTACAATTAGATAAGTCGCTTGTTTTACAAGCACAATTAAGTGGTCAATTGAACAACGAAAAACAAAAGATCATAGATAAAAGAAAAGAAGTCGTCGATAAAATTGAGAATTTAAAAACTCTTTATGCATACAATTTTGTCTCAGCCAGTAACCAGAGTGTGAAATCAAACGTCAGTAGGGTGGATAAATTACAACAAGATATAACTGAACTCGAATACAGAATTGAGAAATTAAAATCAGGTCCATCTAAGAATAACGGATCAACATTTCGAGCAATGTTCAATTCAAAGAACCAGAATATGGGAATCGCAAACAAGTATCCTATTGAGTACAACCAGGCCAAAGATAAAGTTTTAGAAAGGCAAATTGAGGAATAAAAACGATATATTCTATCTATTATCTAGTCACACATATATATGATACCTAAACCGTCTAACCATGATCCTACATAACCATACATACCAATCACATGAAAGCCTTGACCAGGAGATTCCAACGTCGATAAATGTCCACCATTTGGATTGCCGAACATTGGTGATTTTTTGCCAGTGTTTGTTTCAATTTGAATAGCATCGATCCAGGCACCATTTCTAATATGGAATTTGGTAATATATTCGCCTGGGCCAATATCATAGTCCGAATAATGTGATTTTTCATGCCCAATAGTTACCACTTTAGGATTTAATCCTTGACTGCTATTTCTATTATCAGACGAATCGGACAGCTTGTTAGTTAGCTTATGTAAATAATTTCTTAGAGGAACTTTTGGAACGTTTTTCGCTTCGCCATTATCAGAGGAATTGAAATAAAATCTGACTCCATCTAATGCCCCTCCATGGTAAGCACGAACTTTGGTAACTTGTGTGATGTCAAATCCTATTACTGATTCTTTATCCTTGCTCTTACCTAAAAGGGCACTTTTATATCCTGTGAGCATACCTCTGTTCAAGCCAAAGTCACTTTTGATTACATTTTGAGCTGCATCAGTTGAGCAATGCTTTTTAAAGTCATTAATATACAAATCACCACCTAATGATAATATTCTTACTGCGAAATGTTCATCAACTTCTTTCGTATTCTTCTTAAGCGATTGATAACAAGAATCGTAGTCTAGCATTAGCTCGTGTTGTAAACCTGTACCACCATAGGACTTTGGGTAATAAGAAAATGAATGTCTTGCCAAGTCTTTAGTAATAAATTCGATCAAGTAGATGCCAGATCCAGACTTAATGAGAGCTCCTCCACGAGGCGTATTATACAGAGTTGGCGTTCTGTAGGACCCCTCATAACTATCATCCGGAATCATAGTAGTTGACTGTACCTTTCCATATGTTGGATCTTTTGAATCAATTGGCAAACTAAAGGAATCATGATAAAAAAATCTAATTAAGTCTAACCTATTCCAATGACAAACCTGCGGCCAAATACCATTTGTATTTATCAATTGGCCTCTAGATTTTGTTCTTAAGCACTCAACTTCTCTAGTCATGAACGATCTGTTCCACCAAATATAATCACGAAGCATGACCCCATCAACTTGATGAGGACAGCCCAATAAATGACCGATTTCATGCATAAAAGCACCCAACGTAATATTCAAACATTCCCAGCTCGTTCCACATTGATTACAATCATTTGCAACTTCATTTATGGATAAATGTGTCCCGTCTAGAAAGCTTGGAGTTAATTGAGGGAAATTAGCAGGCCATGAATGTAAACCGTGAGACCCAAATATGGCTAGCTTTATATTTGAATTACCACCGCCTAATGCAGCATGGGTCAAAATCATGTTCAGTCTCGTATCAAAATGTGAATCCAAATACAAAACAGCACATTGAACAGCAGTCTTCAGGCGCTTGAATTTGTCACTTAACTCAGGCGATTTTTCAATAAGCTCTAACGCATGACTAAAAAGTCCTCCAGTATTGCTTCCTTTCGAATTTTGCTGTGCTAAATTAGGATCTCTTAATTCAGCCACTGTCTTGGGTGATCTCAAAACATGGATCTTGATTTCTTGATGCGGAGTAGGTGAATCAACAGTATAGCCAAATACCCCTTGATTTGAAACAGTCTCCTCCACAAATTGGAAAGATCTATTACTCATACCCGTAGATCTCATATCATCCTGCGTAAATGATTGCATTAATCTTCCCGCTACCTTCAACTTTTTAATCGCAGTTTGAAGATTCGCTTGCTCACCTCTTTTCAACCTATAATGTGGCATATCATAAGCTCCCTGAGAATCTTTACCTACTAAGACACATAAATGAACCGGTTTATTCTGTGGTAATGGGTTAAAATTAATATTTAACTCCGACCTATCCACAACCTGAGGCTTTCCGTGTGAGTACTCGGGGAACCCAAATGGATTCATTCTTCCATTATCCATAATTTCTATTTTAAGCTTATTCTTTTCATTCGGCGAGACGTGGATCAATGCTTTGAAATTACCATTGTTAACTTCAAAGCATTGTGGTGGGAATACTCTATTATCGTTATTTACAACCTGTACGATACCTTGAGTAATACCGGTCGAGGTTCTTCCACTAATAATGACCGTGGGAGATGAAACAATCTCATTATCTTGGTAATTTAATGTAATTGTCATTATTGGCGAAGTTAACTAGGAGGAATAAGGATTGCCAAGTTTAATAGCTAGAGATTGAACTACTCTCTTGATAAAATCACGTGACGTAAATACTAGAGATGAAAAAAGAGGCCTGTTTGGTGAAAGCTTTGGGGTCGATACCGGCTTTATCATCTAATATGTCAGATAGACGACCCAATAAAAGATCAGAAGCAGCAATCTCGGCAGCAAAACATTGGAGTAAAAAGAAGAGACAAAAGGAAACAGATGCTGATGAGCAAGAAAGTAAGAAATGTCCTGAGGAAGCTTTAGTTGAGATTGTGAAGTCTCCGAAAGAAGTTATAGTAGTGTCGTCTGAAGACGAAACAATTGATGACGAGGACAAAGCGAAATCTGGACATGATATTGAATTGAAGAAATCGCAAATAAGACTTTTGAGTGATCCCAGCTATTCGCTACATGGAATAAAGACTGATCTTGATGTGAATAAGGACACTCTTCTGTTATCTGACTTGGTTGGCAGCAAAGATTTAAAGGAAACCTATCAGTTCAATTTTAGTGTCGACTTGGAGTTTTTCCTCATGCATTTACATCCTAATATGTCAAGGCAACTGAGAAAAATAACCTTCATAACTGGGTCCAGATTGCTTGATGCAGATGAACTGATCCAGGATATTGCATTTATAAAATCGAAGTTTAACATCAATGAATTAACGGCTGATCTTCCAACGCGGTTTGGAACACATCATACTAAAATGATGATCAATTTTTATGAAGATGATACCTGTGAAATAATTATAATGACATGCAATCTCCAAAAAATCGACTTTGGGGGTTTGACACAAATGTGTTGGAAGTCAGGAAGATTACACAGATCAAATGGTAACAGGACGCCAGAAAGAGGCGCCCGATTTCAAAAAGACTTGAAGAATTATCTATTCAGGTATAAGAAGAACCTATTACGTGAATTAGGCAAGTCTTTAGATGAGTACGATTTCCTGCCAGTTAACATAGAATTGGTAGCGTCGGCACCAGGGTTTTTTAATATGGCAGAATCAACTGATGATAGTGAAATATACGGATATGGGAAACTATACCAGGTATTACGAAGGAACAACTTATTGATTGATAATTCGAAGGGCGAAAATAAATATAACGTATTAGCCCAGGTATCATCTATTTCATACCCATTTGCTACTGAAAAGCTGAATACAGCGTCAATTTTTTCACATCTTTTGTGCCCTTTAATATTTTCGGGTATGTCTAAAACTTCATTCGTTTTATTAAAACCCGGAGCGGCACTGTTTAAAAGTCACCAGACTACACATAACTACAGGCCTCATATTTTATATCCAAGCGTAGAAGATGTGGCGAATAGCAATGTTGGTTTTGCGTCCGGACAAGCACTTCATTTTAAATTTACAACAACACCAACTCACCGGAATCAATACGAACAAAATATCAAACCCTACTTATACCGATGGCAATCTGGATCACAAGCGGATGAATCAGGTAGGGAAAATGTAGTCCCGCATGTTAAATTATATATGTGTGATAACGGTGACGATTGGTCCACTTTAAGGTGGGTCTTAATGGGTAGTCATAACCTCTCGAAACAGGCCTGGGGTGCCAAAAACGAGTCAAAGTTTACAAATAGTGACCCACTGGTATATAAAATATCGAGCTATGAACTAGGTGTTTTAGTTCCAGGAAATATGGATCCAAACGATGATAGTGTTACCTTAAAACCAGTTTATGGCAGAGATACTTTCCGTGAAGCGCAGAATAACAACAATACGCCTGTAAGAGTACCGTTCAAATTACCTCCAGTAAAATACAAACCTTCAGAAAAACCCTGGAGCGCCTTGATCAATTATGGAAATAACTTGAAAGATAGATTTGGTCAGTGCTATAATGGGCTAGAT